AATGTATTGTTTCCTCTTGTTTATTATTAAGTATTTTTATTTTATTGATTTTAACTTTTATTTTTCTTTTGGAGGTGATCAAACCTCCAGAGGAATAAAAACTGAACTGATCAGCCTTATAAAGTTTTTAACAACTTTGTTTTTTTTCTGGGTCAGAACTGAGGATCATTGGTGTTGATAAATTATTAGTATTTGTTTCTCTTCCTTTCTATGATCTTTTTAAAGTTTAATTTAATCTTTTTGTATTCTTCTCTGGTTACCTGAACCATTTCAGTCCAAAGATGATTCTGTTCTTGTTGTTTGAGTTTGGATTTCTAAAGTCAACTCCCATAAAATGTGATCTGATGGGTTTTAATTTTAGAAACAAAAATAAAGTCATTTTAAACAGATGAAACTAGATTTTTGTTTTTTCTATGTGAAACAATTCAAAGTTTGGATTTTTGCATCTGAGATGAATTTAACAAAGATTCCTAAATTAAATTAAAAAGTCCAACCTGAAGAAAACAGGACAACAAAACCAAATTATTTTGAAATCAAAGCCACAAACTAACTCTGCAGTAAAGTAATCTTAACCTTATTCTTGTGAGTTTTTTCTTTGTAGTATATTTTAAAATAACAAATAAGGATTTTTAACATCATGTTAATCTTTTACCTAATAATAAATTTAACTCATCTACATTTTTATTCATGTCAGGCTGAGATGTTTTGTCAGATTTACAGAGTTTGACTGAAATCATTTAACTCTGAATCCTTTTATCAACACAAAAAACTAAATGTTTTATTTATTTTCTAACGGTTTCTTTAACAATTAAGTGTTAACAAGTCAAAAAGTAGTTTTTTTGTTCATAGTTATTTGAACTGATTTATTTATTTATTTATTTTTGCAAAACTTTTTTATGTTTTTTTGGGTGTAAAAAACTTTTGTGTTTGACAATGAAATAAGTCAGATTGAGATGATGAAATAAATTTAGGAGGATTTAAATTAAACTTCTGGACAAAAGTTGGTAGAAAAATGTAAAGCAAGTCATTTCTTCATCTCTTTCAATCAATGGATTTTTCTTTTTATTGAAATATTGTTCATTTTTTTGTGTCGTTGACTGAATTATTATACATAAATGTATACATTTGCATTTTTTGTTCTTTTTATCTGAAAAAATGAATTTAAAAAAAGCTTTTCAACCAACAGTTAATTCCTTAAATGATTGTGTGGAGTTAACTATTCAAAACTTTATTTATTCAAATATTCAGTTTTTCTAGCATGAATAACACATTAAAATAGTTTACAGTGTTTTTCATGTTTGAGTGAACAAATTACAATGATTACAGCTTTGCAGTTTTTATTCTTCAAATTAAAATACAATAACAAAAAGCGGTCATAATCAATTAATTCGTTTCATTTTTGTTTTTTATACTAATAAGGTCATTTTCCAGATTTATTCAGTCAGTTTTCCTCCTTTTACTTAATTTCCAGGCTTTAATCTTGGTTTCTGCTCTGTTTGGCCTCAGATCCGTCTGATATTCAGATTTTCTGAATTCAGAGTGTTTTTCTGAGTGTTTGCCGGAGACTTCGGTGTTTCTGGGTTGTTTGGGAGGAAATTGCTTCGTGATGAAGAGCGGCTGCTGGTTCAGACGCACTAGGACCCAGAGCAGGAGCAAATTAAGGACAAGCATAAGAGGCTTAGTGCTTCTAATCTTTATTGCTACACACACACACACACACACACACACACACACACACACATACACACTGGGACACACTCAGCATTTCATAAACATCCCATTTTGCAACAAGCACGCGTTCATATCCCAGAGGCAAAGCGGTGCCATTGTTTTTTTCATTTAGTTTTCATTTTCTCCAAACTCCTTTTATTCCCTGCGCTGACCTCCATCTTCCATCCTGGCTGGTTGGAGACCGGCGGGCCCATATGCTGCACTATTTCCCTCATCCCATTTCATTAACAAACAGCCTCCCATGAACCGGGAGGCCTTAGAGCAAACTCATTTGTTCTAGACAATTACAATCAGGAAAGAAAGGGAAAAAAAAACTTTGAAAATCTTTCTTATCCGTTGGGTGAGTGCATCTTAGTGAGGCGGACAGCTCAGTTCCGCTGGAACAATCACCGGGCGGATCAGACGTGGAAGAAAAATAAATAAAAATAAAGTAAAGGGATTTCAAACTTGAATTGAAATGAAATTTAATCGAGGCTTCGATTCAGTCCTGCTAATGAAATGATCCTGCAGGACTTGAACAACAACAAAAAAGGGGCAATTTCTCCTTTTTTATTTGTTTATTATGTTTCCCAGTTTGTTTGGAGGACAGCATCATTTTCCCAGAATGCTCTCTGTTGACGTGTTTAAGGAAACTATACTGGTGCTGGAGTTGAAATAAAAAGCATGTGTGTGTGTGTGTGTGTGTGTGTGTGTGTGTGTGTGTGTGTGTGTGTGTGTGTGTGTGTGT